TGGAGCCAGTCCTGGAGCCAGCTAGGCCAACATTAGGGCCATCACGTTTAAACCGTCATTGCTCACTCTGGTGTTGATGCCACAGTCTCCACCCCAACTCCCATCAAATCCCATGGGTCAATGCTGTCCTTACAGTATTTTACTGCATAATCATTGCAGATTTTATGCCAAGTTTTGTTTTGTTTTGTTTTTTCAAAATAGTGGAGTGTGGCTCTCTTTGCTTTCTGATCATCATGTGAACTGCTTCCCTCTACTACACTCTTCTGCCATAATGTTCTGCCTCATCTCAAGCCCCACAAGAATGGAGTGTGCTGTCTATAGGCTGAGACTTCTGAAACTGATTGAATGACTAGTCCCAAGCTGTGCAGTCAATAGACAGCCTCCACCAGGCACTTGTTCTGCCGACTGCCTCAGTTGCAGTTGCAAGTTACTTTGCCTGGGGTCTGCTGTTCTCAGAACAGCTCTCACCTAAGGAGTGAAAAAGGCGTAGCCATTTCAACTCAAAGTAGGAGACAGTAAATTAGGGCAGTACTCACTTGAGGTTTTGTCAAGTGTGCATCACTGCCCAGCATCTGCTTTGGAAAATTCAACCTCTGATGAATAAATACTGGATCAATTGCTCATACTTAAATTTGAGGGAAAAAAGGTCAGACACAAAAAGGATTCTGCTGCTCTGTTCATAGTAAATCATCCTACATAGACCTGGACATGGATGTAACTCCACACGGTACACACAAGCCTATCCACGTCAGAAGCTGCATTTCTGAGCTGGCGCTCTCTCATAGTCCAATCATCCAGACCAAGAAGTTGACATATCCGCCACTACCTGATGACAGTTTACCCAAATTTCAAGGTTGCACTTCCTTGCATATTTAATAAATATCTTAATCAACACAGTTCTCAAACTACATTCTAAAACACACTGCCAAACTCAAAATACATGGGGCAATACATTTCTAGATTTTTAAGCTTCCATCCAGATCCTTTCTTTACTGTCATGAACACAGTAAATAATTATCAAATAAAAGTTCCTTCAGTGTTTTCACTATTGTATATTCCAATCTTATTTTCTATCATTTGTAATCACACAATGTGTGCTCCAGCAAAATTATCTTCTCACTCTTTCTCACACATCTCCTATACTTCCTTCCCCAGCTTGAACATCCACTCCCATGCCCTAGTGGAACATTCCACTTGTTTGGAGGGTCGTGCTTTTTCTTCATATATCTCCTACAGCAGTTTATTGAAACATCCATTCTCATAGTACATAACACTTATTGTACAACCATTTATATGCTTCATTCCACTCCTAGGAAATCACAAAGCATGGTGTATTCCCACTACTGTTATATGAAATTATTTTTAGAATTCAAAAAGAATATACCATTTTGAAAAATTCATGTAAGAGTCAGTTTAGGATCCGTATTATCCTCTGAAGTCAGACTACCTGTGTCAATCCCAGATCTATGAGTAACTAGCTATATAACCTTTAAAATGTTGTGCAAGTGACTGAAACCAGAGAGATATGAAGGGGGAAAGGCATGTGCATGGTGTTTTAGCTTTGAATTTTCTCAATGTGAGTAGCTCAAATTTTGCTCCTTATAAATATTTAATACATAATTTTAGATAAGTTAATAAAATTGTCTTTTCTATAAGACTAACTACGCAAGGGAATAAAAAATAATCCTTGCATACAAAAAAAGTGGAGTGTGACCATTGAAGCTTTCTTAAAAGATAAAGTTGTACCAGTATTACTTAAAAATCATTAATTATTAAAGTGATATGATGCAAAATTACAACGCATGGAAGACTCATTAAAATTGAATAATCCAGCTAGGCATGATGATGCACACCTGTAATCCCAGCATCTCGGGAGACTGAGGCAAGAGGATTTCAAGTTCAAAGCCAGCCTCAGCAACTTTAGCAAGGCCGTAAACAACTTAGCAAGACCCTATCTCAAAATAATTTTTTTTTTAAAAAAAGGTCATCCCTAGTCCTTTTTATTTTGTGTGTTGATTCAGGGTCTGGCTAAGTTGCTGAGGGCCTTGCTAAATTGTTGAGGCTGGCCTTGAATTTATAATTCTCCTGCCTCAGCCTCCCAAATAGTCAGGATTATAGGTGTGTGCCACCACGCCCAGCTTGATTTCCTCATCTGATGTGCCATCCTCAGCACCACTCATACAAGATGGATTTATTGTTAGTATTGCAGCACTCTAAACAAATCAAACAAGACAGTGGAAATATACTGACAATGTGTGTGAACTGAAAATTCTAATTTTGCAGTTCACAGTGTGCAAGGAGACAAATGTGCATCCATATGCCACTCACCACACTTTGCTACTCTGTTTACCTTTTAAGCAGCATGAAGAATAGAATTATACCATGTGAAAATTATGTGATAGAATGTTATAAACCAATTTTGGGACTATAAAAGCAGGATTCCATAATTAGGCAGTGAAATATGGTAACTATAGGAAAATCTTTCCTCACATCTTGTTTTACAAAAATCTTATCTGAGAAAGAGCTCATTATGTTTAGGAGTTGGAAAAATGTTGGAATATTTGCTTTGTTTGGTTATTTTTCTAGTCTTCGACTGGGGTTATAGCTCAATGGTAGAGCACTGGCTTAGTAGTGCTAAGTTCGATCCTCAGCACCAATAAAAATAAATAAATAAAATAAAGTTTAAAAATTGTCTTAAAAAAACTGAATGCAATTTAAAAAAAAAAAAAACAACACTCTTTCTTTGTCCCAAAAGACAGACAAAGTAGGATTGGGTGACAGCTTCATTCATGTCTTCCTCAGTTGCCCTTTCCCCTAAGACAACTGGACTCCTTTTTCAGACCTGACTTGTATGCCTTATTTTCTCTAGAAAAAGTTTGTTCCCAAGAAACTTCCCTTGTAAGACCTCTGGTAGAGATGACCCACCACTCCCAGATATATCAACACTCCTTTATCCTGTCATCTGTAGGCTTAGTCCCTGAACACAAGCATTTTGGGACCTTAGTGGCCCTGTCAAGAGGAGGAAAATAAAGGATTCTAGGCCCAGACAGGATCAGGGTCTAGAAAATGCATCCAGCTGAAGGGCTTCATCTGAAGAATGGAAAGACCAGTAGGCCACTCACAGTATTTCTAGAGGCTGTTCTTGATTCTCACTAAATTGAATGCACAAGGAAATTTGTCAAATAAGTAAAACACTACCATAGAGGTCCAGTTGGAGCTGTGTTCTGATTTGGTCATCAACTACATGGCCTCTACTGGTGGTATCCCTGGGTATGGGGAGTGGTAAAAATTGGTTGCAGTCATAGCCCAGCCCACTAATCAGACTTAAGGCAAAGCCATTAACAAACCCAGTGCTCTGCAGGCCTGGGTACTTTGGAAGAGTTGTACCCAAAGCAGTCTAAAAGAACTGGTGAAGCTAAGGTCATAACAGGGAATAAAGAGATTTTATATAGAACCAAGGGGTAAAATGAGATATACTTGCAAGTCGCCAACCAGGGAAATCTAGAGGAACTAAATGAGAGGCTAGGAAGCTATATGAGGGATGTGACACCTGCTATATGATACTGGCTTGGATCTTCAAGGCACATTACACATCTAGATTTAGTGTCTAAAAAGACAAGGCATATAAAACCATTTAAATGCATCAGCTGTGGAGATTGGGCATACAAAGTATGTTTAGGAATGATGTAATTGCTAAAACTTGGACTTCAAAATTAGAAGACTTGGGTTTATATCCCAAGTCTGACACTTATTCATGATATGGCTTCATGTAAATTAATCTCACTGGGTTCTTTTAAGGATTTGTAAAGTTCATATCCTAGTACCTGGCACACAGTAGGCACTCAAAAATGAAGGAATGGTACACAGAGCCCATTGGGCTAATACAACATAGCTAATTCCAGACTTCATTCGTTGGTGGGGCTGACGCTGTTGACTCTTGCCTTCGCTAATGGGACTCAGGCACCAGCAAACAGGGCCTTCAAGGATGGGTCTCACACCTGGGCAAGGGACTATGTGAGGGGTAGGATGGAAAACAGCCCTTTGGGGGGCACTGCAGAGTAGCACCCTCTCTGGGAAACTTATGTTTAAATCATAATATTAAAACAAATATCCGTTCACCTTTTCCTGCTATATACGGAATCAAATACCCCTTTTCTCAGAGATGTGTGGGTGTATATATACACACTCATTCACACACTTCAAAGCCAAGGACATAGTAAAGCATGTACAGTGTACACTCTGGCTTTTATTATTTTCCTTAAGTTATATCCTTATGTGTGAACCTTTGATCTCTGAAATGCAGTCCATATACTTCAGTTTGAGAATATTTGCTGCTCTCCCATAGTTTGTGAGTAATATTTTTGTTATTACTATATCCATGGAAATTTACCTTTCTTTGTCTCTATGACTACAGAATTAGCAACCTTAATCTGTCCTGGAAGATGAGTTGTATTTCAGTTGAATGCTGAGATTAGTGTACAACACAAAATATCCTGCTAATCTATATCTGGGTCTCTACTAAGAAAGCCTACCCCTCAAAACAAGGAATAGATGTTGCAATATTGCACCACTCAGACCCCCTTCCTCCAGTTCAGCCTTGCTTGCTGCCATTCCACTCCTCACAAACAGTGCAGTCACCTAAATTTTGACGATTCCAAAATGCACCAGGCCCTATATGCTTTTGCCTGGGCTCTCTTCTTTGCCTAAAGTTCTTGCCCCCCATCTTCTGATGGGCTCTTTTTTCAGCCTAAATGGCACCGCTCAAGACTCATTCTTCAGAATCCTCCCAGTAGACCTCCTCAGTCCCCTCAAGTCTCCTATAGCAGCATATGTTCACCTGTTATTCACTTCTCCCTCTGAGTGCTTTGAAATCAGGGCAATTATCTTACCCATGGTCTTTGTATTCCCAGCTTCCCTCACAATGCCTGGCACTTGTTTGGTACACACTAAAAATGTAAAATTGAAAACCAAATCACTCTTTTTGTTTCTTCTTCCTACAGAAACGATGACTATGAATTAAAGAACTGCTTGACCCAAGGCACAGTAGGACAACATCTAACAAAGATCTTAAGTAACTTTTTCCATCCAGCAACACCCGGATGACTCCAGTGACCAAATGCTCAGCTGTAAACAGCAATAACTGGCCATCTTTGCTATTTGGATTTGGTGAACCTGAATAGTCCAGCCACTTTCTTCGGGTGGCCCATGGTGTTGAACTACAGGGGAAGCTTGTCTCTCATTGCCAAGAACCAAGATTGGACTATGGAAGAAAGCGAGTTGACATAGTGAGAGTCCCAAGAGTGTCAGGACTCTTAGTGATTGATATAAAGCCCTTGGTGATGGAAACATAGCACCTGCTGTGGCAGTGGTCACTCCGACATGATTATTTGCTTGAATGCCCTGGAAGGATAAAATATTTAAAAATATATCCAGGTGCTAGCAGCAGATCTCAATTCAAACTCCACTACCTACCCTAGCTAACAACTGTCTTTGGAGACTAACTTTACCTTAAGGAGTACTCCAGCTTTGCAAAGAATAGCCCCCAGAGAATAATAGGATAAGCAGGCCACTCCCCTGGAGAAAAATCTAGTGTAAAGAGGGTTAGTTTGCAGAAAATTCACTGCCTCCTCCCATGTACATGGCAGACTACCAGTTGATCGTGGCCCTCTTTTATGCCAAAACTGGATTGTGAGTTTTGAGATTCTACAACATTATTTTTAAGTAACCAAGTCACTTCCTTTCAATTGGTAGTGTTATTAGAATCAAATTGAATTGTCATCTCTATTAGAGAGGTATACCTCTCAGGTCATATGCATTCTGGAATATCTTTTCCCAGGCACATTTGTCCAGTGAGGGAACAGCCTCAGAAGTAGGTAGAGCATTGTGTGAAATAAGATCATGGAGATCACACAGTGGTTCCCTGGGGGAAGGCACAGCTTTGGGCCTCCTTGGCCTGAGTGCCTTCTGGGGTATCTCCATATGCAGAAGCTCAGAGCCTAGCCTTGGACAGCCACAGACACAGGTTTTCTTCTCACTTCAGACACATATCATTTCCATAGCACTTGGGAGTGAAGGTCAGGGCTCTCCCCGGGTAACTCTTCCATTATTCAGCTTCCCTTTTGCCAATCTGCTACCAGCTATGCGCCCCATCATTATTGCTTCTGCCTCCACAGAAATGAAACCAAAGGCCTCAGCATACCCTGACAGGACCAGGGGGCTGTTACCTAGTGGTCCTCTCTCTCCCATTATGGGTACAAGGCACCCTATCCATGCATTTGCACCATGACTTCAAGATAACATCTCCCTTTTCATACAGTCTCTTTGCAGCAGATTCCAGAATTGGATTGTAGTTTATCTTACTGGAAAATGCATTATCTTCATTTCAATTAACATTTTGATGTGGGACCAGCTGGACAGAAGCAGAATCATTGCATATCCTCAGAAATTCTTATTACCTTGGCTGCCTGGTACAAGATGTCAGATGTATCCTGATATCAAATCAAAAAATGGTGGAGGCCTTTGGTGTGTGCGGCAGTATTAATACACTCAAGCTTCATGCATTCCCCAACCTGCCTAATTCATTTCCATATCATTATCTTTCAACCTTGGGATTCAAAGGGAATCCCGGTCCTGCCTATGTCTAAAGACATGAGAAAAATTCATCTCTCTTTGCCCAAGGTTCTCCTCAGCTCATCCCTCCCACCTTAGCATCTTCCACCATAGCAGTGTTTAGAACCAAAGCACGAAGGGCTAGTGCCAGCAAGAGAGTGCACAGAAATATTGTCAATAGATCCAGGCAGAAGAGCCCAAAGGTATGATCCCAAAGAAACCAGACTGTCTCCAGTAGCTGTCAGTGGTCATCCCATTCCACTTTGGCATGCCCTTGGCAATGGGAGCCTGGGTTGGAGAGCCAGTTGTGCCTATTGTTTCCACCTCAGCATCTTCCTGCCCAGAGCTAGCAGCCCTGAGGCCCTAATGAGTATGCTACTGGCTTGTTGGTATGAAACATGGTGGCTTTGTAGGGGCAATCAGGCAAATGTGACTACCCACATGGTAGGTATTTTGTGTCTGGAAAGCTCTGCCCAGCCAGTACAGCTGTGGCCAGAGTCTGGTTATAAATTTGAACTCCTTCAGCCCATTTGCAACTCTGCCTCTGTTCTCTTGCATTCTGTTTGGTTACCCTTTAGTTTCCTAGTAAATGTTCCTTTTGAAAAACTCAAACCTTGTCTCATTGAACTTGTGGGAAGGGGATTCTTCAGTATCTTTTTCAGGGTAGAGAAGGACACTAAATACCTTGGGGAAAAGTGGAAATAGTAGTAGAAAGAGAAACAACTAATCATGTCTCAGGGAGGGACCTTGGGAAGGATTGGTGCCAGGAGAAAGGAAGAAACCAGTTGTCCTCTCACCTTCCTGGCACTAAGTCCCAGCCCCTTCCTCATTGCCATCATTTTCAAGGAGAATTACCCTGGATGTGTTTTGTTGCCAGAGCCCCTTCCTGGCTGGTGAATTGTGCACATTGAGCATGTACCAGAAAGTATACTGGTACATGGCAGGAGCAGGTGTCAGGGAGGGGAAAAGAGTGGTTTCTACAATGTAGATGCTTTCAAACTTCCCTAACAGTTATGACTCCAGGGATTTAGTCCTCATTGTCATCAATAAACCTATATTTCATTTGAAAAGAAGAAAAGTCTTTCTCTAAATTTAAGGAGACCGGCAGAAGAGAGATATGGAAAATGGTGTGGTATTTTCATGATTATCCTGTCCTGTGATAGGGGATGTTCTAATCACATAACAAAGCACTACAAAACATAGTGATTTAAGTAGAAATGTATTCTTTCTCAAGATTATGTGGGTTATCTGAGCTGACCTTCATGGAAGAAGTGAAATGATAAAACTGAGGGAAGAAAATAATCAGGAATGTTGTCCCAACAGTGGGGAAAAAAAAAAATGTCCCACTAGGGAAAACCCGTGGGACAACTCCAAGGAAAACCGGAAAAGATAATGTTTCCAACATTCTGGGAGCTGCGAAAGGTGAACCTAGGTCCTCATCTCTAAGCCCAGGACAGATATGAGGCAAAAAGAAGTGCTGAGCAGTGCCAGGACCTCCTCAGGCATCCCTGATGGCAGATATAAATCTCCCTTCACTTAATGTCCCATGAAAGCAGATCAGGCCTCTCCCAGGGACTGGCAGAAGCCCACTTCCTTCTCCCATTCAAAGTGCTTACTGTCATTTGCTGCCCAGGCTCCCTGAGCATATGGGCTACAAAATTCAACTAGCTATATGATCACCTCTGCACTTCCCTCCCTGGTGTCTTCCCACTTGGGTACAGAGTTCTGAACCTGGAAAGGATTAAGAGCCAAGATTAAAGATGACCCCCTGAAGCCTCAGAAAATTGGGGCCCATCCCTGCAGTCCAGTCATCTTGACTAAGCTTTAGTGGCATCAGAGTCTCAAGCTCACCCACAGGCCAGCACGAAACTTTAATATGACAATGAATTTCATGTCACCTCCTCCTAGTAGGAAAGGGAAGAATAGGTCAAAGGGACCTGGATCACGGATGCTGTCTTCAAGGCTCTGTTATTGATACCACACCCCCAAACTACATCATAAAACAGACTCCGAAAGATGAATGAGCATTGCCAGACAATGAAGAAATGTATTTATCAATATGAAAATTTATTTATCAATATGAAATTTATTGATCATAATTGACATTACATCTTCCAGGTTACAATATTTGATATTGCTTTTATCCATTTACTTTATTTTTTGAAAATTCAACTTTGATTCTAAACAGTAAACATAGTTTTTAAAAAGTTAATTGATTTCTTTTTGGCTCAATGCTAAATGTATTGTAGTTATTGTTTCAATGACCATTCATTGCATTAAAGTTATTTCCAAGTCAGCATTTTACATAGGAATATTTATGGTTTTTCCCATCAAGCAAACATTGTCTCCAAGATGCTGGCTTTCATTGTACATAAAATTCCTTTTTTATGATGTCCAGAGTCTTAATTTTGAATTTATCCGATTTGAATTTGTCAAAGTAAGACAATTTCTCCAATTTGCCAGACTCAAAGCTTTCAAAGAATATTAAAACCATTTCTTCAAATACCTGAAGACACTTATCGGGACTTCAGAAATGAGCTTGCAAATAGGCCTTCCAGAAACAAATTTTTATCTTTTGTTTTTAAAAGTAATGATTTTGAAAATACTTATTTTCTCTTCAAGGAAATCTAGAACTAAGTTTAAAATTTTATGTTTTTGTTTTTTTGTGAAATAAAACTTTCAAACAATCCTGTTTTAAAAGCACACAAGAAATTGCAAACAAGATAAGAGCTCAGAAAAGAAAGGCATTGCCACAAATTGCACATTTGTAAAAGAGAAACAAACACACCGTCCCTGTATGTCACATCCACAGCTCAGCATGGACCTCTGCTCAGGGCTCACTGGACCTGCTGGCTCTAGCAAGGCTCCTGGGCTGTTTTAGCTAAGCACAAAATCTGCGTTATGGCTCGACACTATGGTCCATGTTTTCTAATTTTGTTTTCAGGATAGAAAGAGTGACTATAAAATCTTTTATAGAGAATAAGACCCAGGCATCATTGTGCCAAGCCTGCCAGAGAAAAGGTGGTGTCTGGGCAGCACAGGAAAATGTAAGAAGAGCAGGAAAATGCTATCTTCCAAATTAGAACTCCAGGAGTTAAAAGTATTCCAACCAAATTAAATATTTTCTAAAATACATATTGGCTTTACCTTGTTCTCCACAAAATTAGGTGTCATGTTATCTTTTTTAAATATATATATATATTTAGTTGTAGTTGTACATAATACCTTTATTTTGTTTATTTTTATGTGGTGCTGAGGATCGAACCCAGGGCCTTGCACATGCTAGGCAAGTGCTCCACCACTGAGCCACAACCCCAGCCCAGTGTCATGTTACCTTAAAGAGCACTTCTGGTTTTGAAAGAATCCTATTTGCTTCCCTAAAATTAACAAGAGAGCTTTTGGGGTGGGGTGGGTAAAAAAAAACTTGGGGATTCAACTCAGGTGCTTTACCACTGAGCTACATCTCTAGCCTTTTTTATTTTGACATTAGATGCTGCCTTGGCGCCCAGAGTCACTGGGATCATTGGCATGTGCCACTATGCCTGGCACAAAAAATCATTTAAGTTTTGACTTCCAGTGTTTTCCACATTTGAAATCCATGTTGAAGAGCCAATGACATTCATGTGTGAGATGCAGCTGGTCCTGGGGGATTAGCAAGAGGAGGCTGCCTACCTGACATGCTGTGGTAGATCCTGGCCCTCACTAGTGCTGTGAACACCTGCTGGGCTCTTCACAGTGACTGCTGGACACCTGAGACAGTGCTTGCTGTAGCAGTCCAATTAGCAGCTTAGACAAACACTCAGGGGCTCTCGGGTCAAGATAATACAATTTGACAGCAACTACTAAGGGTTTTGCTGTCTCCTGACTTGAAAAGGTGTTCTTGTTCCCCACAGAAAGAAAGAGAGAGTAAGAAAGAAAAGAAAGTGTATCCATGTCATCAAACAGGCGAGAACAAGGACAACCACCATGTGGAAGAGGGGAATGCAGTGGAGGGAAACATCATGTAAAGCCCAAATATAGACTCCTTGATTTTTCTGTTTTAAAGTATTTAAGTTTTAGGAAAAATAAGTGTGGATTTCAAAATATATAAACAGTGGATTTCAAAGGAAATCTAAAGATTATATTTGTAAATTTAAAGAGTTCCATAAAACTAGAAAAGTTTAGCAAATCATTCAAATGCTTCTGATTATCTGGTAGATCAAATATTGATATTTGGCTGATTGGTGGCATTATGTCAGTTTTTCCAGCCCATGCCAAAGCAGCTGTCAGGAGTTTCCTTCATAAAGGACTGCTTGATCCCGAGTGTAAAGTTTTGTTGAAAATCACTGCGCCTTAGGAAGAGAAGATCAGCTTAGGAAACCACAGCCTTCATGTCCTGTGATGCTCCCAGGAATGGGGCAGGTCCTTGTTGAGGAAGGCATTTCCATAAATGAGGAAAGATTTCTCCTCCACTGACCTTCAGTTCATGACCTTCTAGGACTGTGGGAGACAAGGTAAAAACACTAGTCTGGGAGAGGAAGATTTTAAGCTTAAAACTGTAATTACACAGTTAAGGACTGGGGAGGGAGACAAAACTTCCACAGCCTCCTTGAAACTATGCTGGTGAATGATCTCACTGTTTGGGGTCCTAACCCTAAAATATTTGCCCTATTCTGATGGACAGAAGTAGTGGTAGAGACCAGCTGGTAATCAGAAGAGGCAAAAGGAACTCAAACCAGTTACCTTCAAACTGAGCACAGGTGGGAGACAGCCCTGCCCCGTGGAGTCCTAAGAATCTATTTACCACCCTGTAAGCTCCAGGCCTCCCGTTCCTGTACTCCTTGCCATCAGGTCCCACCCAGACCCTTGTCAGCCCCTCGTGTAGCCAGGCCAGGGACATCTGAGAAAATGAAACAGCACCACACCTGTGACTGTATTTGGCCCCCACTCTTCTGGTCTTTAGAAAACGTTAGCAATCCCCAAATGGCTCAAACAACAAAAGCATGGACATAAGAAACCCTTACCGAGAACTTTCTGCCTTCACCCAACCCCTCTCTGGTTTCCTATCATGGCGCTTGGCATCTTCATGCCATTCTACACACGCTACTTTACACGTACACATGCACCAGTGAAATTACTGGGCAGGACCAGCTCAGAAAAGGCTGGTGCAGAACTTGATGTCATTTTCAGGCCAAGGAAAATTATTGCAGAGAGCATGGCCCCATCAGAACTGGAAGATTTGTCCTTGTGTATCTCTTTGCAGCAAGTAGCTCTCTGGGTCTTATGGAAATTGCTGCCTGGGAATGCCAGAAACAAGGTGAGTTCTCCATGAATGTACCCGGCCACCTAGGACAGATAGACTGGTCTTCTCAGGAGCCTCCTATCTCCTTAGATGCCTGTGCCATGCAGTCACAGAAGCTCTCACCCATCATTTTATGCAAAATTCCATATAACACTCATTTCCATAAACCAGTCTAGAAAAAGTATCCTAGAGGTGACACCACCTTTTCAGAGCCATAATATGTGGGTTAAAAAAAGATGTCAGAGATTTAGTGTAAATGCATAGGGCTTGTCAGAGCTGCCAATTCTGTTGATAAGCTGTCATTAACATGTAGTGTTTGCATGTGACTCCT